CAGCCCCCGGGGGGCTGGGGGGGCAGCCGCGACTTGGCCTTCTCACCCCGAGCCCTGCGTCCGCAGGTGCTGAAGATCCTGCTGCACACATGCGCCCAGGGCTCCCCCCAGTTCGTCCTGCAGCTCAAGAGGAATGCCTGCTTCATCCGGGAGGCAGCAGGTAACGGGGCGAGAAGTGGGGGAGCTGGGGCAGGAGAGCAGGGAGCGGCCCTGCCCGGTGCTGGAGAACCCAGCCTGGCTGCGGGGGAGAGCCTGCTGCCTGTGGGGGCTGCTCCAGAGGCTGAGCGCCGGCCGGGGCCGGGGTTCTGCCCCATCCTGCCTTGTGCCCGGAAGCTGAGCATCCCCCAGCGCTCCCGACCTTGTGCCTTGCAGTGTTCGCTGGGCCCCCAGACCCCCTCCACGGCAACAGCTTGAACCAGAAGGTCCGGGCGGCCGCGCAGGTGAGTGCCAGCCCCGTTCCCCCTGTGCCGGGCGGACTGTTCGGGCCCTGCCTGGAGCAGCAGGGCAGCTCTGCTCCCCAGACCCCCTCCTCGGGGCCAGGCCGGGGTGCCCGGCGCTCCCCAGCTCTCTGCCCACAACCCCATCTCTCCCGCTAGGACTTGGCCAGCATTCTCTTTTCGGATGCGCCGCTCCCCCAGCCTGCCGCGCTGCCTGCCCGTCCCCTGCCCCCTGTGGGTAAGTGCAGGCCCCTCACGGCCCTGTCACCTCCCATGGGCCGTGCTGGCAGCGCAGGGCCGGTCCCTTCGGCTGGAGCTGTGGGTGTGCAGAGGGTCCGCTGGCCGGGGAGGCTGTTGGGGGTGAGGGCAGGGTGCCACAGGCCCCTGTGAGGGGTCTCTGGCTGCTGCCCCCGTCCCACTGTGGGCCCCGGCTCTGCTTGCTGAGAGTGTTCCCCTGCTCTGGCTAGAGCAGGCTGCGGGGTACTGCGTTAGAGGGAAAAACGTGCCGGGGGGAGCGGAGGGACAGGCTGCCCTTAGCTTCCCTCTGAGGCGTTCTCCTGTAAGTGCCCTGCCCTGCACCCCAGCTCCTCCCGGCTGCCCCAGGCGCTCCCCTGTGCTTGCGAGGGGGAGGAACAGCAGTGGAGGGCGACCCCGAACGCCTGTGCTCCCTCTGAACGTGCCTTGTGCCTCCCCCAGGCATGGGCTCCAGCCCCAGCCCCTGCGGCTCCTTGCAAGGATTTGGCTTCAGCAGTGAAAAAAGCGGCTCCGGTAAGTCCTGGCTGTGCCCTCGCCTGGCGCTGCCCCTCGCCCTGCGTGGGTCCCCTGCTCGGTGCTGCCCTGCCTGCGCGCCGTGATGCCGCAGCCCCGGGGGGTCCTGCCTGGGGTTAGACCAGGCTTCCCAGAGTTTGGAGAGGCGTAACCTGGTTGCCGGCTCTCTCGGTGGGTGTTTCTGGGCGGCTCAGAGCGGAGCCGCGCTGCACCCTTTGCTTTGTGCAGCTCTCCCCTTTCCCAAGCCGTCTGACGGGTGCTGGGGCTGGTGGCACGGCTGCGGGGCTGGCGGTGGGGGGGGCTCCACCGGGGGCTTCCCCCGTCGGCGGGGCGGCACG